GTGACCTTTCAACAAATAACAATAAGGAGACAAGTGTTTGCCTAATTTAGACGGCTAAATAAAGAATTATTTCAAGTTAAAACTTGAAGTTCTAATTTCAAATTTAAATCTAGAATCATATTTTTGACATTTGTCATAAACAACAATATTAAAGTAGACAGTGACATGACTAACAACCAAAACGTATTCTAAACTTCTCTAAATACCATTTCCGAGATGTACATTGTACAGTCTAGATAATAAATCCACAACACAGAATAGAACAAGAGACGGTAACAATCAACAGCAACTTTTGTTGCCAACTATACCTACGTCACGTCATCAACCCTCGTCATATTATATGACATGTGTTACCAGCTAAAATAAAGCTGCCTCGTTACATTATTTTTTGATTGATGGCAATTATTTTAAAACGTGTTTATGATACCCTTCCCTGTGCTGGTCCTAAATAAATATTTCTAAATTGTCTCTTGATGTTATTACTACCTGTATTTTGTTTTAATCCAGTGTTGATATGAACAAGACGTTAATAAATATTGTGTTATCTATGTTGATTTTGATTTAAATATTTGAGATTTTCGCTATTACCTAATGGGTATATTTTATCTAACACGACGACTAGCTTTTTTCATGTGATAGGTCGGTAAACACAACGCTTTGGTTTTCACGTCGGTTTCTTAAAAGCATTGCCTCCTTTCTAGGATTTTCTTCTGTGTCGTGGGTTTACAAACATATTATCTCACATACACATCACACCCAGACCCAAATCAACAATTTGTGGATTACACAAAGAATAGTTCCGTGCAGTCATAATGAAACGTAATGAAAATAATCGTATATATATAGGGCGGACTTAATGCCATGTGCCACATTCTCAATCCTTATCAGTCAACCTTAGTACTTACTCGGGAATCAGTGACTTATAATATTATTAGTATAACTTATTACTATATATTAGTTGTTAATTTGTATTTTTTTTTTCTAATATTACGAAATTTATTAGACTGATATTTAGACTTCTATACCTAATGTTTAACAAAAAATTTACCTACTTATTTTTATAAAAAAATGGACGCCTTTCATTTGGTTTATTTAATTGAACATTATTATTAGAAAGTAACCCTTTTTAAATATCCATCAATATGAATCTACTTGGTACATTGCCAGGTGAAGGAATATTTTAATATAAAACATATGTAATATTCAAATCTATTGACCTAAAATGCTGGTTATTTGAAAACATCTCTATTGCGGTCAAGGGCTATATAAACCGAGTTTTATATCACATTAGCGGGTATCATATGCCACATTTTATAAACTCATATAATACGTACTTGATAGAGATGGATGTAGTTTGTTTACTTACGTCTGTTGCTAAGCAGAAGTGTATCAGTCTTTTCTCGTGTTTTCCAGCTTTAGAGAAAAATATAAGTAATAAGCGAGTGTGGGAAAGCCATGCCTCGGCACGAATGGGTCGGCTCGACTGAAGTGATACCACGTCCTCGCAGGAAACCGGCGTGAAACAACCACAGCGTTGTGTTTCGCCGTGTGAGTGAGGTTACCGGAGGCCCAATCTTTCTCCTCCCCCAATTCCTCCTCAATCCCTAATCTCCAAATCCCTAATCCCTAAAAGGTCGGCAACGCACTCGTAACTCCTCTATTGTTACGGGTGTCCATGGGCGGCGCAGAATGCTTACCATCGGGTAATCCGTCTGTTCGTTTGCAGACCTATAACATAAGAGGAAATAAATTATATTCTGATTATGATTATAAAGCGTATTGATTAGCTTAAGGTTTTAAAAAATATGTTACTTTATGTATTTATTTTTTTAAATTATAACTTTGTATGTTCTCTTCCTTTTACGGGACCTTTGGAAGGCGTACGACGCGCCAAAGCCAACTCGCAGAGGCCCTTTGCAATATATATTGGCGAAAGGGGACATCAGCCGGCAATTATCTCTTTGTAAACTGTGTAAATGTACCCAAGGACTTAATATATTACTATATTACTGCTACTATACGGATATACGGATCTTATTAATGCAGGACTATTATGCAATATGCTAGAAAATATTATTATCATTCTCAAAATTGAACTTACTCGCTTGGCAGTTATTTTTACAACCGGCCTAAAAGAACCACCCTAAAAAAGTACCATAAAATTTTCTATATTTTCCTCAGTCCAATTATTGACATGGCTGACCGTATCGTAATTCGAATTCTGCCAATCTGTTCAATAGACAGAATATGGTTCCTATTAAATTATAATAAATACTCAACCAAGTGAGGATTGGACTGTTTGACTTAGATAAGAAACAAAAGAAAATAAGTTATTGTCTGAGTTCGTTTTGTGTGTGTTTTGTTTTATTTTTGCACTAGATTTAGGCACAAAATAATATGCCAGTTTTATAATAATATGTAACTTGTAAGGACCCATGGGTTTTATTTGTCTTGTTCTTTATTCTTTTTTTACGTCAAAGACGTCAGTACCTAATGTCTATGAAAACCTAATGTTATGTAAATAAAAAAACTCGAACTATGATGTCTGTTTAAAAAATATACATTTTTTCGTGGATACCGAAATAAAACATTAATTTTATATACTGAAAGTACACATAAATTCATCAGGTTTATATTCCAAATTAAAAAACTTACAACATATAAACTTAATAAACCGTACATTTCAAACAAACCAATTACAGTCAAACGCGACCTACATGCTCGACAGTCAACGAGCGACTGCGCTTCCCCACTTCCGCTACCCCCACCCCCTAACCGGATGGTGACGTCACAATGATACGGAACACTTTGTGACAACCGGCCTACTTTTGTACCCACGATAAGTTTAAATGTGTCTTTTTATGTATTTATAGGACACTTATATAACACTGTAGCGGCGTGCCGCGGCGTGCGGTGACAGTTGCAGATATTTTTTATCTGTGCTATTTGTGACAGATGCAGGTTTTCTTTTTTATTAAATGGCGATCGGTCGGGTTATTTTGTTTTGTTAATGTAGACAGATGAGTCAACTAATTTAAGTTTGAAGTTGTTTTTAATTTTCATATACTTTAACGTTCCAAAATTGCCTGAAAGTAGGAATAAATTAAAGTAATAAATTAATTAATTTTATGTACACCGACTATATACCGATAATGTTCTCATATTTTTAATCCAGACAGCTAAAATATTATCGAAAAAATACAGAAAATCTTCTTCTTCACATACAGGTGGTTTCTAAATGAATTACCGCGTCAAAGCGCCCTCTACTAAGTAACTTGACAGTTGACAAACATGGTGCATTCTGCTTATATCGAGTACGGTCACTGGATAGTGCACAAAGGGACGATGCTGCTTGCACAGTGTAATGCAATTGTGGAGAGTGCAGTAGCAGAAGCTGTTTGCGTATGCACGTATTTTGGCAGAAAATGGTTTCGATAACGGTAATTGTTTAAGCTGTTGTTTCCGTCTGATGAATACAGATATATACTGCCTTGGTGTGTAGTTACATGACGACAGATTTTTATCACCAAAATAGTTATTGTAAGCAATTTTGTAAACTTTCGCTTTTAACATTTTAAGTTCTTTTTGAACTTTCAATTTTCAATATAATTTGTAGTATGTATGTAATATAGTGTACATTATGAATATTGTATAAACGCGACTGCTACGCAAGGTACCGCGAGTTCGATCGTTTTGGTTCGGTGTCTTGTAAACACGTTTTCTTTTTATTTTGTTCTAGAATTTCTCAATTGTGTACACAGTCAGGAACTGTTTTCGGTGTACAGTTCTACTCCCTGTTACATACATAATATGTGGCATCATATATAAATCTGCTCTATGGCCTGCCTTCAGGTATAAAAGGCATAATAATATGCAAAAAGTCTCGCAATCGTTATTGAACATTATTTTTATTAAAGTTGATTTATTTAAAAAAATCATCACCCTCTATTTCGTCCCTAATACAATATAACAAAAACATTGCGTTCCAGCTCCTAGACTTCAGCAAGCTACAACAAACTGCATTTAGTTTCGCGTCTCCCACGTTTCCTATTACCGGTACGAGCTCCGTTTCATTTCCTTGACGAGCAACACGTGCCAACCGACAGACACGAACCCGTTTTTTAAAATACAAAATTTTAAATTAATGTGTTTTCGATATTTTGTCGTTCAGGTATTTTTTTTTTTATATTTTTCTTATTACAAATTAGTCTGTATTGTTAGATTATTTTTGAGGAGTTAGTTTTTTTTTTGAACCTCGTACTTATATTAAAATAAAATAACGTTAGAAATCAAAAACCTTTCAAAAAACCGTAAAAAAATATATTTCAATCGTTAAAAAACATATAATTATATACCGTCAACCTGTTCGTCAGTGAAGCTAGATGCTCGTTCCAAAGCGCAAAACTTATGTCGGCCATTTTGATATCAATTTACATACAAATAAATCCCCACAATAATAATATACTTGAAAGCCGTCAGTACCCAAATCAACAATTGTGTCAGCATAACTATGTAATCTTGTCTCTCATCAAACAATAGTTTTCTCAGTAATGACGTCACAATTGTGACGTAATGACGTGTCTTGTTTACTAGCTTGTGACGTCACAACGTGATGAAGGTTTTGGAGTATAATTGAGATGTGGTATATTGTTACATGAAAATTTGTAATTGACATGAGTTTTAGTGCAAATTACATTATTATAACAAGATGTTTTAATTATGTAGTTACATATTGCGCATATAGGCGTCATGCACTTCTGATAATGTTTCATATCTAAAATACTTTTTATATGCATATTGTTGAACATAGCGTTTAGAGAAAAATCGGGCCTTCGATAACCTAACTCACACGGTGAAACACAACGCTGTGGTTGTTTCGCGATGGTGTACTGTGAGGCCGTGGTATCACTCTCGTCGAGCTGATCCATTCGTACCAAAAGTTTGCTCTCCCACACATAACATAAATATACCTAATAAAATTTTCTCTTCTTTTGTTCCAGATCTGCAGTTTCCAATAGACGTGTCAGGAGTTCAGAACGACCATCCGTTCTTAGACGCAGATTCTCTTCAGTCACTGTTCAGGCGTCTCACAGCGCTCAACAGATGCGCCAACATGAAATTAGAACATCATCATCATCAGAAGAGATCGGTAAGTCTTTGTGGTTTTCTCTATCTTTTTTTTTTATATGGTAGGTCGGCAAACGAGCGGGCTGATTACCTGATGGTAAGCAATCAGCGCCGTATTTGGACACTCTCAACAACAGGAGAGTTTAGTGCGTTTCCGACCTTTTTAGGACTGGGGAAGGATTGGACCTCCCGTAACTGCACTTACACGGCGAAACATAACGCTGTGGTTGTTTCGCGCCGGTTTTCTGTGAGGCCGTGGTATCATCACTCTGGTCGAGCCAACCCATTTGTGCTTACAAATTCGATCTTCTATCTCTAGTAGGTTCATTGAGTTTATGAACGGTGGCTGGAGCTCGTTCCACTATTTTCAAAGCTCGGAGCGTCACTATTACCGATTGGGGTGAGGATCTTTACGTATTCTCTGACGTATTATTCAGATTGGATCAAAAAGGACAGAAAACAGTGATGTTCCTTTGGTAGAGCAATTTTTGATCAATTTCCTTATTTTTTTGACTAAACAATTTTTAATACCGACGAAAATTCTTTAACGTAGATATATATGTAGTTTGTGTAGTGTACCATCAGCACTGGCATGCATGGCAGCATGGCTCTCTCATACATAACTGTTAGAGTTTTGAGATCCAAAAAAATCAACAAATTATAAATAATAATTATGAAATAAATAAATCTCATAATTATTCCTAATATAAAATGCAAATAAGAATAAAAATAAAACATACATAATTTTAAATTTAATCAAAGTAAGGGAAGGCAGTAATTAAGAACATCATCACTCTAAATAATTCTCACAGACGCATCATTATTAATGCGTAATAAATATTATTTATTAATCAATTTGTTTGTAATTACATATTTTAGTGAATTGGTTGTGTTCATTAAATATTTTAATCGAATTAATATATCAACTTTGGGTTGATATTATTTAACATAAATGTTAGAAATTGTTAAAAATGATTAAAAAATTCAGGTGGCAAAAAATTGACCTAGTTAGTGTACAACAAGCAAGCAATAACTCTTTCTGAATGCAATAACTTATCACACATGTTTCACCTTACAGAGTTTTTTTGTGAAATAAATGCGTTTTAAAGTGTTAAAAACTTTTTAGTACATACTAAACAAATCACTACATAATATTATTCAAATTTGCTTTCTTTGTCCCCATATCCCTATGTATGCTTAAATCTTTAAAACAACACCACGGATTTTGTTGCGGTTAGTTTTTATATAGAGCGATTGAAGAGTGGTTCATATGTAAAAAACACCCAATATACACATAGTAAATAAATTTGATATTAGCATTACACCTGTACTTAGCCGGGGCATCCGCTACTAGAAAATAAAACAAAGTCTTTACTATTTCTTCTTCAACTTTTGAATCAATTTGTGCCAATACCTATGTGCAGTTTTGATAAACCTAAACACTAGTTCTTACCTGTTTAATAAACATAAACAAGTATTTTCTATATTTCCTGGAAATAAAAATTGCTTTTAGTATAAAATTGCAGTGATTAAATGAAATGTCATAAAAATTATTATGATGTAGTCCGGTTGGTAACGAGATATTTTCTCTGGGTTTACTTAAAATTCCATTTCCGTGATTATAAAAGCTTGCACGTCTTATGCGCCAGTGGTTCTCAAATCATCGTATAATAGGAGCCAGTAGTTTTTTTCTACTAATTTTTGTAATTTGAAAGTAATTATTTGTGGCGTAAACTTGCAATCATTACTCATAATTATAAATTATTAGTGAAAGAAAACCAAAACGTAAAAAAATATACTTAGCCCTTTATTAAACTTGGTTCCGCAAAAAGACAGTCTCTCACATTCCAAATACCTATGTTTATCAAAACATTAAAATATTGTCTTAACATTTGTTTGTCACATCAAAGCAAACCAAAGCTCTAAAAATATATCAGAAATTTGTACTATTCGCCCATAAGAGTCCTATTTCTCAGAAGGACAGTTGCCCTTGTCACTCTCTGTGGGCCGATGACTTAAGTGTTGAGACACACTGGACCAAAGCGAAGTAACCAAACAGCTAGTTTTACGATTATTGGACGTGTTAAGAGTGCATTTGATAACATGTACAACGTACTGGCTTCAAAAGCATATTAAATTTGATATTAAATATGTTTAAAAATTGCTAAAGGTCAAAGTCAAGAGGTAACGGCAGATTACAATAGGTTAATGATTTATCACGGGCCCCTCTCCTCTATCGAGTCTTAAGAGCCAACTAAAGGGCCGGGGTTGCGGGCTAAGCGCAATGAGTCACCGTGGCCTCGGCGGAGGTCACAGGAGAAGGAACGGAGTGCTTTAAAAATTTAGTCAGTAAGAGTCTGACACTCTCGCGCGCCTAACCCTGGGCGGGAGAAGTTATTTGATGATTTTTCCCTGACAAAAAAAAAAGAAAAAAAAAGAGCCAACTAAGGGAATACCCATTTGACAGTGCTCAGGTAGTACGCGAAAATGAGTCTTTCTAGCCTGAGTTTACCTATAAGAGTCAGACTTTTACTGACTAAAAAACAACCCTTCTCTTGTTCCGAGCTGGGTAACGCTACATTATTGTGTTTTGCACCTGTAAAGAAATATCTAAGTTTCGTTGGAAAGGTGGTAACAAGTAAAATTTTATTATAGATTATAAAACAAGTATTATTTTATTAAATAAAACGCAGTACCTGTGCTAGCTTAGGTAGTAAAAAGAATACAACTTTGCTTTAGCTCCGGTGAAAATTCAATAACCAAAAAAGTGTTCATATAGCCTTAAATAAGACTCGTAGCACAAAGAATCTGAAACAATAGTTGTTAAGTTCACAAAGAGTTGTTAACAAGCGCCAAAAAGTCTCTAAAAATTGTGTATAAAAATACTTAGAAATTAATTATATTTACTGCAACTACCGAATAAATATTCTTTCAAAGAAAACTTTATCTTTTGTAACACCACCGTTTGATAATAATCTTTATTTTGAGAAGCATTTGAATGAAAATTATTCAGCAACTATATTTTCACTATCCTAAAATAACAAATTTTGCCGGCCTTTTACGTAACCCTAGACTTAAGAGGGTGAAGTCTATAGGTACTTAAACACTGTTCTAAGAAAATACAAGTACCTAAAAAAAACCATTTAATAAAACATTAAAAGGGTTTTAGAAATCAGAAAACGTTAGCAATAAAATTGTTGACTTTTCATCTATGTGGTTGGGTTGCACTGTACCTGGTATTAAACTCAGTTAAGTTTAAAAAAAGATTAAGAAACAATATCGCCTATATTATTCAGATCTAAAATGTGTACAATAAATTTATATCTAAAACTAGATATAATTTATAGATATAAAGACTATCTATCTACAATTTTCGAATAAAAATAAAAATTCAATCTGGTTATAAACATTTCTAAAATTAAAATAGTATTAGAAAAATGTCCAAATACAAAAAAAGGTTCCAATTTCAAATCCCAGGATGGTTAAATTATAAATATTAACGAGCCTAAAAAACATAATACAGTAAATTCAAGACACCGTGTGACATTCATGATTTGTTAAAAAAGAAACTACTGAAAAAATTAAAATCACGTCTTTTTTAATTTAGGACAATAGACTTCTAATTTCTAACAGTGCAGTTGACATAGGGTAATTTGTTAGTTCAAGTAATTAACTTTTAACAGTTTATCTAACAAGACTAACAATTAAGACAAATTAACATTCTGCTCTGAATAAAAAGAATAAAATTAAAACTTTTGATCTAGAAACTAAATGAGTTTGCTTTTATATAGAATTTTTAGAAAAAAGGAGGCCGATTTAATTGAAGTCACAAGGACAGTTCAACCTGATCAATCTAGACATTGTGATGCCTTATCCTTTTTTTCTTTTTTTTTGGAGAGCTACAATAGAATCGTCTCTTGTGCGTACATAGAGTTTAACTTACTAGTATTAACAAATGAAGTCCTATTATGTACCTTACTAGCGAAAATCACATTTCCTCCAGAAATTCACATATGATTACTCCGATCTGTAAATTTCAGTGTAATAAATAATTATAATATTATAAAGAATAAAACTCTGCTTATTTAAAAGTGTTCATCTCTAAAACTACTGGTTCGATAACAGTACAATTTTTTTGTAAGACAGTTAGGATAAAGATTAAATACTCCTTCTATCGAAAAAGGTCATAAAATCTATAAAAACCAATAGGAAACAATCAAATCTACGCTCGTGAATATTACCTTCAAAAATTTTTACCCGTGGTTTAAAATTCACCGATTAATATTATGTGTCACCCGTCGACGTGGGTTTATGGAATGGTTGGTAATTGTTATGACGGTTGCTAATGCTATACCTTCAGAGGCCTTGCAGTTACAGCCTATAATAGCCCGTTATAGTCTGTTAGGTTTTATTTTATACGTATGTATTATGGACTTGTCAAAGGTTTGTTTCGGAAAGAAAAAATATCAACTAAGGACCTGGCTAGACGCAATGTGCTTGATTATAAAAAAGAAAAATATAATACAAAAATAAATTTATAAATTTAAATTTAGAACCTTATTTGCATCAACAATATATTATGAAGGTGATGAAACGGGCGCTTATTATGATTTGTCTTTAAGAAAAAATACACACGGTTGATTTGAAAATCCTATAATTTACTTGGAAGTCGATTAACTAATAAAGTAAGGTTTTTAAAGATTTCCGATATTATATTAAGATTTTCTCTTCTGTCGTGAGTGTATAAACATTCGGTTGGACACACAACCCACCCAGACCCGGAACAACGATATGTGGATCACGCAAATAGTCGTTCTGTGTCCAATTTTGTTTGAGGTAAATCTATTAGGGATGAACCTACGACAACAATACAATGAGCCTAATTGCAACACATCGATCCGAGATCAGTTAAGAATTGTAATTGCAACATTGACGGTTGCGGTCACAAGATTCAGATTTTAATTCTGAAATTCTTGCTAAGTTTTATTTCGTAATTAACTTAAAACGCGTCTTATTATAAAT